GTTTAAATCAAATGCCACGTGACTTTTCGATTCATCTGATCAACGAGATGAAAGAAAAGCGAGGCGCGTGCTGCCGTTCTGCACGCGTTATTGTATCGCGCTATTAACGGCATTATCTTCTTGTTCGATAACGTCGAGAGGTTTTTTAAAAAGACCAGACGTTCGAATCATCAGCGCACGGGTCTTCCAGCAGACGTCGCGACGACGTAATCCTCCACTTATAAGGGCGCCACTTTTAGTGGATTCGACAACGTGCAGCATAGTGTCGATCTTGGAAATATATTATTTCGTACCTTCTAAATGAACACTAAAAGATCTAGTATTTCGCTTTCATTCAACTTGAAATCAGTTCATGAATAATCGTCAAGTAACGATGAACCCCGTGATAATTTCCAGACTTCATGTAAACGATGTTGTAGAAACTTGGAAATACCTGTGAGGTGATTCGTTAGGATTTCCCGTTGTTAATTATGTTCAGTGTATGCACTTCGTATTCTTCACTATCTGTATTCCATAACTTAGGACAACGAAGAATGATGACGATTTTACACGATTCTTCACTTAAGGCTTCAAATATGTTTCGAATGTGAAGGATCAAGTGGTACTAATTTCGAAAGTGGGTACAGGTTGTGGATTTTCCACTGCTAATTGCGTCCATTAGTTCAGATACATATCTTCTCGTAGGTTTAACCTTTAAAATACGGAACAGTCAGGTAGATGCTGTAATTGAAAGTGAAAATGTAAGCGCTTTCGCTAATCTGTACAATATACATAGATCGACATATATCGGATGAAACTATCAAAATTTGTTAAATTCTTTTGATAATTTCATGACGAAGTAACATGTTAAACATGACTGTTAAAATTCTTTTGTCTATTATATAAAAATAGCAGCGTTCATCTTCTATTCAGAAGCAAGTGAAAGAGACATACGAGCAAAATGACAATGGAAAGTTCGTAATTAAGTATGCCGTCCAAATCACCGTGGATTGATTTTCTTTGGTTTGCTCACGGGATTATCTGCGAGTTTGAAATGTTTACACGAAGGGGAAAACTTACAGTTGGGATCGAGAGATAGTAGATGCTCTTAAAGAGTCGCAGGAAGTAACAGTTCGAGTCTTTGGTTCGGCGACGCCCACTCGTCGCTGGCACGTTAATGACTGGGAATTTTCTGTCCTTTCGTTTTCTCTTGTAGTTTGCTTATGTTACCTGTGCGCAAAAAGCACACTTGACTCATCGTGAATGACGCCGAAAAACTAACAAATCTGTTCTTTTCGAGGAACTTATGGGACTAAGTGAAACAGGTTTGCCGTTAATGATTGGTTTTGGTCTTTTGGAGTTCGTTCAGGTCGAAATATGAACAAAGCTTAATGTGGAAAACGATGAATTTGTTGTATATACCTTCGTTCATATCCAACTTTTGATAATTTTAACAAGCTCTGAACTCGAATGCTTATTAATATTGACGAGTAATTCTTTGAGAAGTTCCAACTTATCAGACAAAATTATCAAAGCGAAATATTTATGATTCGTTGTAGACGAATGTTCCCGTTGATTCAGCTGAAAATCACGGGATTAGAGCGTCGGGCTCGTTATTGCGTTCTCCTGGAAATGGAGCCGGCGTCCGATCGTCGACACAAGTATGTCGGTTGTGGTGGCGGTTTGAAGAAATCTTGCGAGAACGCAAAATGGTCGTCTGCCGGGCCAGCTGAAACTCAGCCACGAATCGATCGAAGGATTTACCTGCATCCGGATAGTCCGGCGACCGGTGCGCACTGGATGCAGCAGTCGCTGAAGTTCGATAAACTGAAGCTGACTAACAACGTCGCCGATCCCAAGAATAACGTGAGTACCTTTTCTTATACCTGTTAATAATATGATATCATTAGATAAAAAAGTTTGGAAAATGAATACGCAGAAGCTACTCATTGTGCAGTTGATTTTTTTAAACGTACATTTATCGACAGAAAGTTGAAGTTAAATGAAAGTTAAATGCCGAAAATGTTGGTCCATTCCGCGGAACTTTATTTTTTTTTTTGATTAAAGAAAGATGTATGGAGAAAAGGCTTAACGGAAATGCGGAGAGTAAAAACGGAACGGTAGCGTGCATTTATCTAGATGTCCCGTGTTTGGACAGGCCAACGTGTCCTTAAACGCTTCATCTTTTTCTTTCTTTGCGCCAGTCTCTGGTTTCGACTTACCGTTTGCCTCCTTGCTCAAGCCGTATGCGGGAGGTCGCCACACACGGATCCACCCTCTCTTCACTACTTGTTTCACTTCCGATTAGGGCCTACTGAAAAAAAGAGAGAACCTCCAGTTAGAGAATTCCAAGCGATACTTCGTTCTCCGTCAATTACCTCCTAACTTTCCACAGATGATTCTACTGATTATTTATTCCTTTTTTAACGACGATATTTCTACCATCCTTTATGTTGATAAGAAGTGAGAAAGAAAATATTTTAATTTTATCTTATCACGGATACACCTTTTTTCAACTATTCTTCTTTGTGATGTACTGATATCCTATATTCCATTAAATACTACAGTAATGCTTGCGCTTCGAATTTTCCCATTTTTATCGACTTCAATTTCATCTCTTTCCATTCTGACTTCATTTCGCCGAATCATTCCACAGGCACGAAAACATTAACACAGATCGGTGGTTTGTCGATTTTTTTCTCCTGGAAGTGAATCACACCATATTTCTTTCCTAATTAGGTCAGGTAAATAACAGGGGACCCTGCTAAGCAGGCAAAGTGATCAAACTACGTTCTTAACGCAAGGAAGCGGGGGTCGGGATTAAAATCTTGGAAAGGAAAAGGGCAGACGCCGCATGCATGTACCGTCTTCAGATTTGAGAAGCTACTCAAAACTGGGTGCTGGGTACGTCGGTTTCAGTCGTTGTTCGTGAAGAACGAAGATTAACACGCTCCACGACACCCTGTAATCGATATACCTTCCTTTCTCTCGGCAAGTGGGTTTGTTTATGCCTCGACAGGATGAATCCTGGCAGCTGGCTCGTTCATGGCGCCCCTTGCCAGTTCTTTCAATTTTTCACCAATATCCTGGAAATTATTTCTGCGGATCTGCGTCGCCTCGAGTACCTGAAGAAGTTCCTCTTGCACGCGGAGGAGCTTCTTCGTCGATAACTGGCCAGTTCTTCAAAGTTCCATTCTATTAACCTTGCTGCGTCAATTCGATCGGTTATTTCCCTAACATCAAAGAATATCTCAAGTTTAAATAGAAAAAACTCGCATCGACATGTATGATTCCTCAGTTAAATTTTTAAGCTTCTTCTTAAAATATTAAATATAATCTTTCGTTTAATTTAGGTATAATTTCTTAAAGTTCCTTTTAAATTGCAATGGAAAAGTTCGAGGATCGTAAATAGGATCGTAATTTTCTATATAGACGAAAAATATCTTAAGAAATATTTTTTTTATATTCTTTAATAAATATGAATAGATTCGACTTTGCTTCGTTGCGAAGAATCTTGAGTTGGAAAATAATAAATCAGTGATCGGTGATAACTTGGAAATTAACAAATTAAGAGACGTAGTGATCATAAAATTAAAGTTTAACGGCACGTGTAATCGAAGTGTTAGTACTGGTAGCCTCCTGGTTTATGAAGGATTTTGGATAGGTCGAGAGCGTGTGATTCCGAGAAGGTTGAAGGGCCAGTCTGGTTTTCGAGAATCGCGTCTGTCTCCAGCGTCGTCGGCATCCTTAGTAAGGCGCCAACTTATCTCGACAAAGCGGCGCCCTTTTAGCCGATTCTTCAAACTAATTACGAATTTAATAAAATTCTGCCCGCTGTAAGCTAGTCGAATGAAGGGAATCCCTTCTTCTTCGCGAATAAAAAAGCGGGAATCTCTCCACCAGCGTTTGTGCTGTTCGCTCTTGCTATTACGACGTGCAATATTTTCGATAATAATACTTTTAATAATTTATTTTTCAATGTACGAAGAATACAATTTTTTATATTTTATATTCGTCATTTTAATGAATATGCAAAATTTTGTTTACAGATTGTTTTATTATCTATGCATAAGTACGTTCCACGGATTTGGATCATTCGTTGCGATGATGCGATCAGATTGAGCGATCTATATTCTCATCCAGCCTCGTCGTTCAAGTTCACTGAAACGGAGTTCATTGCTGTAACTGCTTATCAAGTAAAGTATTTACGTATAACTTTTACAATTAATGTTCCTGTATTATTTTATAAAATTCTAAACCAACAGCAACTTCCGAACTTCATATTCACAATGTAAATTTTTTAAACATATTCCCATACGTTTCTGCTTTCAGAACGAGAACATTACAAAGCTAAAGATCAACAACAATCCATTCGCCAAAGGATTTCGAGATTCTGGCCAGTCACGATGCAAAAGGAAGTTCCAAGCAGAAACGGAGAAATTGAACGACATTGATGACGATAATGGGAACGGGTCTTTGGAACGAGAGTCAAGTAAATCTTTGAATCATCTGGACAATCAAAGACCAACAACAGCTTCCAGTGAAACAGGAAGTTTAGATGATAGTGGTGTCAGTAGCTATGGAGGAATTAGTCCACCTCTTCCCTCAACGGTTCATCGAAATCCGCTATCTGGAGATGCCGATTATCACGTACAACCAAAATTACATAGACCTTGGATTGATTCTTCTTCGCAATATTCGTCTTCCATGATGGCTAGCTCGTTCTCGGATTTGTTGCCTGTTTCCAATTTTCCTGCCTATCTTCGACTATTCTATCCGTCTGTGGCGATGCAATCGAATTTCGCGAGGCTACCCTACCAATCGATGGTACAATTTTCGAGATATTATTAAAGACTGTATAAACAATTTCTGTGAAATAATAATAGTGGAATAATTTAATTATTTAAAAAAAAAAAA